TCTCTCTCTCTCTCTCTCTCTCTCTCTCTCTCTCGGGGCAGTGTATTACCAGTAAGCACACGGCTTCAGGACAATCCAAATAAAATTACTCTTTTTCTTTTTCTTTTTCTTTTTCTTTTTCTTTTTCTTTTCTTGAAAACGCGAACAGATCCATCATTCATTATACTCAAAAAATGCAAAAGTAATCGCAATTCTTCGCATTGTCGATCTACCTCCGAAGGATCGTAATGGTAGCGACTGTTACGAGCAAGCAATTGCCTCTCTCTCTCTCTCTCTCTCTCTCTCTCTCTCTCTCTCTCTCTCTCTCTCTCTCTCTCTCTCTCTCTCTCTCTCTCTCTCTCTCTCTTCAGCTCAACGATCTCGAGCTCGAACGGAGCAACGCTGTCATCAGTCACCTCTATATTATGCCCAGTCTCTGTGAAGGAAAGGCACCGGGTGGTAGGGCTGACAAGAGAAGGCCGTCGCCACGTCGTCCGTTACGGCCACGTCAGCCGTTCATCCAGGCCAATCATCACTCGGTGGAGGAATTAACTGATGACGTCATCGGACTCTTTGTAGTGCCATGTGAACGGCTGATGCCACGTCATCGTCAATTGGCGCCAGGTTACCTATCGATACTCCGTATCTAGATTAGTAAAGCAAGCGTTTTCAGCTATTCTATATGTATATATATATATATCATCACATGAATATGAGAGCGCAAACGCGATAGATATATATATATTGTCACATGATATCAGATATATATGTCTATGATGATGAATGGGTATTCCCCGCGCAATGCTACCCATTGAGTTTAGGAGCTCTGGTGGTGGTTCAATAGCGATAGCCCCTTTGTGAAGAGGAGAGAGGGGTGGGTGGGAGGGGGGCGGGGTTGACACCTCTCGAGAGGCAGAATTCATGGAATATGATCACACAGAGAGACCGAGAGAGAGAGAGAGAGAGAGAGAGAGGTGAAGATGGAGGGATAGGGGGAGAGGGAAGGGGGGAAGAGAGGGAGAGAATGAGAGCGACCTTGGAGAGAACATGAGCAGTGTCGAGGAGAAGCTCCAGTATCTGCCGGGCACTAATTGCATGCGCTCGTCGTCGAAGCCCATCCTGGAGCAGAGAGAGGGAGGAACCCACGCTCTCCCGCACAGAAACCAGCTTGGAGCGCAACTCTGTCAAGGGCATACGCATCCTAAGGACAGCGCCATCTACGTCAACCAGCTTCGTACTCAGGTTAACGAAATCGGTGTAGTCTCGATTGATCAGCTCCACAAGCTCGTTCTTCAGAACCGATAGATGACTGCCCAGCTCGGCGCGCAGCGTCTCCAGTGGAACGAATCTACGGAGATCAGTGATATACTCATCGGGCTCGAAGTCGGGATCGCTGAAAGCATCCTTCTTAAACCACAAAGGTTGCGTGTCCACGTCATCACCGAACAGTGCTGCCACATTCGTTGGACCCATGGACACCATCCCAGGTGCCTCGACCGCCGCCATCTCTCTCTCTCTCTCTCTCTCTCTCTCTCTCTCTCTCTCTCTTGTGACTGTACCTTCACCCTTTGTTGAGAGTGCTCGTCCCCTGCGCGCGCGTGCGCGTACTTTTCGCGCGCACGCGCGTACCCGACGATCGAGGGAGAGAGACGCGCTGGGGCACAGGGGGATCCCGCGACAAACGGCACTCGAGCGCGGGCGCGCTCGTGCACACTTGTCGCAGCGCGCTAGGTAGTCCGCTCCTTCCCCTCCCCTTCAGACCGCGGTCATCGAGATCAGCGGTGCGATTTTGATCGACTTGTCAGCAATCAGCAGACGACGGACCTGCTTCGTCAGCACAAGCTCGCCACCGTGAATTGGTGATTGAAAACAAAGGAAAAAACGAAAAAGGCCCTCCTCATTCCCTATTGGTAGTTGGTAGGCTGAGTGATAAACACATTCAACTGTTGACAAACACATACAGAGTTCGAACCGTGCATTCATTACAACAAGGCTAAGTATCGACCCCTTTAAAGTACTTTTGATATATATACCCCTCTACTTTTTATATATATACCCCTCTTTGCCTACTACTACTACTATTCACTGGGAGGTTCCCTATGAGAGAAACATACCGCGACTTAGCTGGCTCCCTGCTGTGGACTTTACCGGGGCTAGGTCCCACTTACACGAATTAAGCGATATTGACCGTAGATAGCAGAGATCGGCGGCCAGAATCTCTTAATCCGTGCAAGTGGGACCTTGCCCCCAGTCAGGTTCAACGACAGTGGTTGAGGGCGTCACTGCTCGGCCATGCTGTGCCTGCAGTGTCAGAGGCGTGTCTGGAGTGTATTTTCTGCCTGTGACAGAGTGGGCGTTTTGCTGGCTGATGATTGGGTGCGGACCTGCAGTTTGTGATGTGCGTGGGTGATAGTCTGCTTTGACTTCTCTCTTGAGAAAGAACGGGTCAAGAGGGAATGGGTCTCTCTCACTTCTCTAGACTCTTGTGGGTTCAAACCCCGGCTCCCTCATGCATGGACACCAGCGGGGGTGTTAAACCGCAAGTACACGGCCCCAGCCTTTGTTTTCGCCGCCACAAGCAAAACTCGGAGGCGCCGCGCAGCCAGGCCCACCGTTGAAAAAACAAATAGGCGGCCTCCGAAGTGGTGCGGGTTTCGTGCTGACACCCGCAGGCCCCGTCATTCACACACAGCCATTCGCACACAGCATATGGGGCGTTAACCGCTGGCAATACCAATACCATGCCATGCATGCAGCCTATGTTCGGAGTGCAGTTGTTGGGGAACCTACATTGTAAGATACAGGTTGCAGGCTCGAGACTGGGCGCGCTCAGATGGAGCGCTTGTGGCACATGCTGCAAGTACTTGGCCCAGCCAAAAAATATATATGTTGCTTGTATACCAGCATGCTGTTAGACACTCCTTACGAGTTCCTTGAGCCACAAGGAATTTCTTGTGGCTCATAAGGGATTTTTGCTGCGTCTTTCCACACATCCTTGGGGACGTCCCCCAAGGACGTTGCCTTGTGACCTGACCGCGGCCATTTTCATACGAAAATATGCAGCCGCGGGCGGGGGTGTCCGTGGTCCAGCGTCCGTTGTCCGTGTGGAGACGGCATGGTCCACCGACGTCCGACAGGAAAGGGCATGAGGCAGGCCACGAAAAATAAAATGAGAAAGGGGGACCTCTACCTCTGAAATTCAAATTTTGAAGTACGGCTGTGGTGACGACAACGACGTTCGGCCTGCGACGCGCAGACAGTGCAGGGCTGAATCGCCCTTATCGGCGGTGTCCCTTCCGCCCACCTCCCAGTCAGTCTACGTGTGTACACCGGGTGCATCCATCGTCGTCGAGATTCTCCTCCACGTCGTCCGCGCCATCACATGAAGTTCCGCCAGGGGGACGACATCCACAGAAAGGTGGCAGCTTCTCGGACCTCTCCTCGAGATGTGAGCGGGTTGCGTCTCTGGAGTGCGAGGATCGAGACAGTAGCGAAGAGACTCCATCCCTGCGGAGGTGATGGCAATGGACGACGGCGAAGAGGGCGGACGTGCGCTGTTGACACCGCTTGAGCGGGCAGCCGTGTCAACCGTTGTTCTTCGTTGTCGGCAAGAGAGGGCGCTGGGACGAATGAAGGAGAAGTTGTGCGCGCGTAGAAGAAGGATGCTGATGCAAGCTGCGGATATAGGCCCCGACTACGTGGCAACTTCGGAGGTTGTCATTGAGTTGTGCTACACGTTGGGTTGCGGCGTCATTCCACAAGCGACACCGAGGTGGTGGATCAAACGCAGGACAGGGGGGATGTGGGAAGACCTTCGACAATGCGACGACGCCACGGATGACTACTTCAACGAGAAGCAGCACAACGTCGGGGAGCAGCAGAGGGACCACCAAAAGCAGCACTGCGACGTGGAGCAACAGAGGGAGTCTGCGGTACAGGTTGGCCATGAACTTAACTTCACGGTGGAGAGGGCAGCAACGCCATGTCTGTTGCCGGACATCTAGCACACGGCGGCGGAGAAGGCAAGAGTCTTGTCGAATGTGCAGCACGTGACGACACGCGTGGGAATACGACGCTCGTGCAGAAACCTCTTCCCTGGACGGACTGAAGGCGCCGCCAGGAAAAAATATTTTCCCGACCGTTGCGGACGTTCCTCGAGTGCGGGAGACCGCATATGCCTGCATAAAACAACGACGACACCCAATGGAGGCCCACCGCCAACAGTAGATGTTGGAGGGTGGGAATGTTTATGCTAACGCCGTTGGACCACATCTGCACCACCCAAGAACCAAAACTCCCCGTCGACGCATGTCTTCGCCACTCCGTGAATCACGGTTCCTTGAGCTCCAAGGGACCTCGCGAGGTCCCTTGGGCATAAGGAGATTTTGGTTGAGGCCACAAGAATGCCACAAGGAAAATTCCTTGTGGCGTTTTCACATCTCTTTTTCCATTTCGTCCCCAAGGACAGGTGGAACGAGCGCATCGTTGTGAATTTCACATCCCCAAGGAGTGTCTAATGACGCCCTTAGTTCCTTTCACGATAGTGTTTATAGATGTCTGATTCTCTACTAAGTATTCGGCTCATCTCATATCAGTCGGGCTGGACACTTTCCCACTTGATGCCTTGATTGAACCATTGATCGATCTGCTTTCCCAAGTGTGGGTGGAACCAGGAGTTTCCACCTCATTCTTGGCAGATTTGAATCTAAGTATGCCTAGGACATGCAGCATGTTGTCCAGAGCGTTCCTCTGTTGCCTAACCTCTGAGTGGGAAGCTATGGACATAACAGGAATCGAGGAAGACACTCGGGGCGAGAATCCCCCTCCCACAAGAATCCAATCTGCCGATCAACTGGAGACAATTAATGGGTAGGTTAAGGGTTGCCTCATGGAATGTGCAGGGACTGCGGGACATGGGAGGTAAGCGAAAAGGGTGTCGTTTAAAGTCCTGGATTCACAACAAAGGCATTGATCTAGCAATGCTATATGAAACTAAACAATCTAAGTCTAAACCCACCCAGCTACGAGATTGGTGGGACGGACCCCAGCCAGGGGTACCAAAGGACAGGTGGCAATCCTAATTCATAATCGTATTGAGGCTCCACTTCTAGACTGCGACAGTGATGCCTAGGGGCGCATGTGTTGGGTAAAGGTAGCTATCGAACACAGAGTGGGGGTTGGCCACAGTGTACGCACCTAATGAAGTAGGAGAGAGAGCTTGTTTCTTCGAAACACTGCCATATGTTCTCCCAGAACGGATCACTCGATAACAATCGACTATTGGAACATTGCCTGTCATCCAGGATTAGACTCAGAAACGGATGATGCATGTTGACAAATCGGGTCAAGCTGCTAAAGTGAATGGAGAAGTCGGAGCTGAGGGATGTTTACAGGGAGCTCTATTCGACGTCACATGATTTTACGTGGTTCAAACAAACTGCTCAACACGCGGGGATCATGAGGAGAACTGATTTTTTTCTAAGAGGTAGTCATAAGCGATGTCCTGCGTATTCAAACCATGAATGAGCCCTTGTCATATCACAAGCCTATTACGATGGAATGTATACTATCTACAACCGCTGAGAGGGGGCCTGGCTACTTTAAACTGGACACAGATCTTCTCTCTGGCGAGGGGATTTCAGCCTGGGTAACTCACTTCTGGGAGAATCGGAAGCCAGCTAAAGAATCCTTCCCCTCTACGTATGAATGGGTAGATCCTGGACTACAGGTTCTCTCTTTGAAATTGGACTCGTGTTTGCGAATAGTTGCTATCCACAAAACCAGGGAGGAAAGAGCATTGTGTCAGACTGTCGAGGAGGCAGAGAGCAAGATTGGAGATCATCCAATCTCTTACCTATTTTGGGTCGAAGAGAGACACGAAAGGCTGCTGAAGTGGGAACAGTGGCAGATACACAAGCAGGAACGATGGTCGAAGATTCTCCAAGTGAAGGTTATCGTCTCATCGAATGACGACCAGGCGACCATATGATGATTTTAATGATAATATGGCAAATGGGTCGGCGTTGTAGAACCACATGACGGTACGTTTAACAGAGGCAGGTAAGCTCTGACTAGACAGGCCTCTCACGAAGGAGGAGCTCACTACTACGATGCAGAGTATGGCTCGGGGCAAGGCTCCGGGAGACGACGGCCTCCCTATTGAATTCTTTGTTGCCCGTTGGGATGTGCTGGTGAGCGATCTGGTGGATATGTTCAATGACATCAGAGAGGAGGGAAGGTTGGGCAAGACTATGACAAGGGGGGGTATTTCCCTGCTATTCAAGAAAGACGGCAGGAGCGAAGTCAGAAATTGGAGGCCGAGTTCACTACTGAATGTACTGTACAAACTCCTCGCAAAGACGTTGGCAACCGGACTGGGGGCCCACCTGCCAAACTTGGTAAAACGGGATCAAGGCACCTTCGTACGCGAGAGGTCAATTTTTGAGAATGTGGTGATTGCGATAGAAGCACTTGAGATAATTGACAGTGGAGACTCTGACATTACAGTCCTTCTACTCGACCTCCAGAAAGCGTATGACAGGGTCAACTAGACATTTGTTATGACCACGATACGCTTGGTGAGGTTTGGTGA